AAAGTTAACGTAGGTGTGCAATATATTACTCCTTCCCCACCCACTGTATCTATCCTTTATCACTGGTGGTTGGCTGAAATTTCATTTAGAATTCTTTATGTAAAGTCAAATTTGTGTAATGTGAATTTACATAAAGCAAGAATTGTCTATACAAATATGATGGCTTTACTAACATTAATGGAGAGAAGAGTTTGTTGTAGAAATCTTGACAGAGCTTCTCCATTTTATACCTGTTTGTTGTTTCTCCTGGTTTCATTTTTAAATACTCTTAGGATAATATGGTTTAATTAGTTCTCATGCTGAGTTTTCTATCACTTCTTCCCACTGGTTTATAAGGTCAGACTGCTTATAATCTTCTGCCATCCTCTTTCATAAGAGTTTAAATGATTTTATAGTTAAAATGGAGTTGTCTTTTGCTGCTCTCTTTCTCTATTTAGCAAGGAGATCAAATTTTTGTTAGTTGAGTTGGTTTCTAGTTTCATTTGGCTGTTCCTCAGAGGCAATTTCTTTACATTGGTTAAACTTTCATAAGATATGGTGGCAGTCATTTTGGTGTAATATTTCCCATTTTTCAGTGTCAGTAGCTTTAAAAAGTTGTATAGATTGAAATGATTCTAGTTTTATGCCTTCTTTTCTTCCCATTTTTATTCTTGATTTTCATTTTGGTTTTTGTTCTAGTAAGTCAATGGTCTAACTGTACATAGGCAGCTAGTACAGAAATGATTCTTACATTGGCAACAAGTTGTTATCCTCTCTTTTTAGATATAGTGAATGTCATTGTGTTTTGGTAATGTTATTTGGTACTTACCATGTCTAGCCCCTTCAAACTCTGCTCTTGAATAAAATATGTCTAGGCATGAGGTTTCTGTGTAGTTTACAAACTGTTAGTTTCTTTTGTTTCTGAAATTAGAACCATATTTTCCATTGTATTTTTCTCTATCTTTCCCATGCTCATCTTTGCACTGAAGTCACTAAATATTAACATGATTTAATTTAGAAGATTTTTCAGGTTCTTTGTAGAATTTCTTTATCTGTTCACTCTCTACAACAGTTGTTAGGGTATAAGCTACGATTATCTTCATGGTAATTTTTTTTTACTTATGCTTGTCATGAGCACTGCAAGAGAAAATAGACTACATGAATGTTACATGTTACATGAAAATGTTGCATGAAATATCTCACATTACCTTTTTATATATGGTAAAGTCAATTCTACTAATTTCCTTCTTTTCCTCTCCAAAGGTGTATGCCATCCTTCCATTTAGCTTCAATTTCTTTTCTTTTTTTTTTTTTGCAAGGCAATTGGGGTTAAGTGACTTGTCTAGGGTCACACAGCTAGTGAGTATCATGTGTCTGAGATCAAATTTGAACTCAGGTCCTCCTGACTCCAGAACTGGTGCTCTATCCACTATGCCATCTAGCTGCCCCTACCTTCAATTTCTTTTTGTCTTTTGGTTTTACTTATAATGAGAATGTCAATGTTGCTGTGACAATAGAATGTATCATTGGACACTGGACAAATATTTCACATTTAGAGTGACAAAAGTTAATATTTAACTTGTACAGGCTAAAACTTGTAAGCTAAAACTATTGCAAACCTTTTTATCCTTCCTCAAACCTCCCATGACCACCCTTCTTTCCATGCTTTCAGCTGAGTACCTTGCCTCATACTTCACCAAAAATTTGAATCCATTTGCTTAGAGCTTCCTCTTCTCTCTTCCTTCTTTTCACACATCACTTTGATGCCTTATAATACTATATCCTTCACCCTTGTGTCACTTAAAGAAGTGACTTCATTTTTTCTGAAAGGAGTACATGGTAGAAATAACATTATATCAGATATTTAAAACAAAACAAACACTTGTATAGGATGGCTTGTGAGCAGTATATTTCAGCTCAGTCTCCTTAGTCATCTACAGAGAATTGTACATTGAGGGTTGATGCTCAGAATATTACTAAGCACCATAAAAACCTGAATCATCTAAGAAGAATGAGTTATTTGATTTTTAAAATATATTAAATACTTACTATCAAGGGGAAAAAAGGTGAATGTTGTAAGGGTTCTCTTTTAACTCTGTAATTCTGTGATAATCATAAGCACATTCTAGTTCTACCACAAATCCATGTCTTTACTTTTCCAGACTACTTTTGATATGGAATCAGAGGCTAGCTATGAGTGAATAATTGAACAGAAATGTGTGTCAGGCACATTGGAGGTAATTACAGACTTTCTGTTATCACTCTCAGGATTATATTTTTCTTCTCAGAGGATTGAGTTTCAGTCAACAGTGCCCATTATCTGTATAAATAGATCTTCAAGAAAATAGGTATCTAAATTCTGTTCTTTCTTTTTCTCCAGGGAATACTTCCAAGTTTCCTGTGGATATGACACCAGTTCGGAACTGGGGCAGTGGAGATGGAGACTTCCAGTTCAGACCATTTTTTGTGGGCTCTCCCACAGCAGCTGAACCTAGCAATAACTTTTTCAGTTTTGCTTCTCCCAGCCATGAAGCAGTGCCACAGCCAGGTGGTAGCAGAACCTTTAAAGTGAAAAGAATGTAGCCCATCTTGGAAACAGAGGGCAAAGTGAGAAAGAGGGGAATTTATCATTTATCATAACTATGCCTGCCTACTGTGCCTCATTTTTTCAAAGTTGAATTCACTAAGAATCTAGTTTGCTTTCTTGCTCTTCTCTGATGGTTTCTAACAGTAAATGGATCCTAGTTAGGGTGAAGCCATTCTTGTGGCAAGTATTGTTGCTCATTTGTGAGGTTATCAGTTTCCTTGTGCTATTAGTTCTACAGAGTTTGCTGCTTGCTGTGAGAAACTTATGAGGAAGAAAGTTGGCTTTGGATTCTTTTCTTTTGCCAATGTTATTTTGAATAATGAATGCACTGTTTTATTAAACTCAGTTTGTGAACTGTTGCATATTTGTGATCAGTAGTATTCAGACAAATGTGGTGATGTGTTGGCATTTAGAACAACATTTAGCTTATTGTAACTATCTGGCTTGTATGGCCACATATTGTTATATCCATAAAGTCTTAAACATGGGAATATCTGTGTTTAGATATGTGATCATTGTGACTTCTTTAAATGTGTATATATAGTTATCTGAGTATGTAGATTCTGGTATTTATGTGTGTGCATTTTATTTTACACTTGCATCTTTGTTATCATATTTATGTATATATTTAACTTGAGAAATACATATGAATCTATGATTAGATGCTTTTGATATATTTCTGTATTTATGTGTATCTCTTGATATGTTTATATTTGTGTGTCACTGTGTCAGCATGTATTAGAAGTGTATTCATTTGGGAATATGTAAGTGAACATCTTATTGCATTGGCATTTGTCAAGTCTGTATTTCAATTTAAAACTAGTCAGACTGATAACGATTATTATTTCTTTAAGTTGGCTCTTAAGTATCCATTTCAATATGAAACATGAAAATATTTTTACCTTATCATTTATTGTCTCAGTTTGCTTTATCAGAGACATACACATACATACACACATATATATGTGTATATGTGTACATATATACTGTAGAAAGTTTGCCTAACCTTATATACAAATTTATATAAATCATATATTATAATAGCACCTCCCTTATAGGGCTGTTGTGAACATCAATATGTACACACAAATATATATAATTCATACATACAGTGCTTTATATAAATGCTAGCTATAATCAACATATAATTCATTTTACAGATGACATTAAAATGCCTTTTGAAGAATAGTTTCCTGTATGCTCTTGTCAGAGACTGAACATTTTTAACTCTTTCCACAACAAGTAAAAATTAAATAGTTATCTGTTTAAAGGACAGACTGTGATTTTGGAGCTTTAGGAAGATATCTAGTATATGTTGAAAAAGCACTGGTTAAGGAATTAGGACATGTAGGTTCTCATTTAGTTTTGTGACTTTGGGATGCTCTGTGCTTTAATTTCCTTATCTGTAAAATAAGTGGATTAAACTAACTGGCTTCTAGTTGTTTTCCTCTCTAATTTTATGATTTTTTTTTTTGTAGATTAGGAAAAAGAATAGTGAAATTTTTCTTGGTGTTTTAGTAATACAAATAAAAGAATAACTGACATTATATAGTGTTTTGAGGTCAGCAAAGCCTCATTTGTACCTAACAACAACCCTGGCTTTATCAATCAAAAAACATTTAAGTGCCTACTATGTGCCAGGCACTGCTAAGTGCTCCCTAAATGCCAGATCCGAATGTACTTGATGTAAAAATAGCATAATGAAATGTTGATGTACATAAAATAAATCTGGGATGTTTTTATTTGATGGTGGGGCAGAGAGGGTGTAAATGAACATCTCATTTTACACATTTGAGCACCAAAAGGCCTTTATAAGATAACTTTCAGGTTTTGTTGTAATTCAAAGAAGTAAAAAAGGTTGCCAAGAAGGTGGGTGATAGCTTTTGGTTTCATAAGGGTAGAGAGCTTTTAATGTGGAAATCTCCACCACTGTAGAATGGCACACTTCTCATCTGCAAACTATAGCCCCAGTGCCTGGGGGTCCGGAGAAGTTAAGTGACTTGCCTCAGGCTCACACAGCTACCATAGAATGAATGTGCCCCATACAAGCCTGGAACAAGAGGTCTTCCTGACTCCCCTGAATGCTGCTTCTTTTGTCCCTGCTCGGGAATGGGCTGGCCTGCAGTTAAAATGAGACTTGAGAACACGGTGGCTATATGATTTGGGCCACAGCTCTATGTTGTACAATGCATACATGTTTACGGAATATGGATCTACACAAAAATATGCACGTGAAAATATGCATCCCAACACCAACTTGCCTCCCCCTCGTGGTTTCGTTTGCAGAAAGTTGCTGGGGCACGGAGATGCAGACGGACAGACAGACCCCGTGGGCGTCCGTCAGGCACGGCGCCACGTGAGCAGGGGAGCCTCCACTCCTCTAGATGTCACTGTGGCTCCGCGAGAGTTCCTGTTTCTCTGTGGTTGTAGCGCTGGGGGAGGCGAGGGTTGTAGCCGGAGGAACGATGGCTGAAGAAGAGGAGGAAGCCAAGCAGCCCGTGCAGCTCTTGCAAGTAGGGCCCGGGGGCGAAAACGCTTAGGCTGGGGTGGTTTGTTGGCAGTGATTCCGCGCGCCCAGCCATGCTGCCGGGTGGATGCGGGGTGCAGTTACTCTACAAACTCTTTCCCGAGTGGGGGGCCGTTCCTGGGGGGAAGCGTCCTGGCCCGGGATTGGGGGTGGGCTGGGCTGCGAAGCTTCCTGGGTTAGGGAGGGGGTGGAGTGGGGGTCGCGTTTATGTATTAGTAGCTGCGGCGGCCGGGGGCGGGGCGGGTTTTGCTGCCAGGATGCTCAGCAGGCACCCGGGCGCCCCCTGCTACGCCCAGGGCATTTACACTTAGTACTCTGGTGGAAGGGGCATGGTAGGGAGATTTACTAGCAAACTTTCCCTTACATTTTTCAGGCAGGGCTGTGGTTTCGTTTCTCTCCAACTCATTGGATTTCTTCTCTCCCAGAGTACAGTTTCTCCCACCTCCCCATTTTAGCAAGTCCACCTACCAAGCACTTGTTGTAAGGCTGTTTTGGCTCCCTTCCCCCATTCCCCCGCACTCCCTCTGCCTTCAGCTTTGGAGCTGGCAACAATAGAGACAGTTTTGTACTTCTCTCATGCCTCTTTTTTTTTTTTATGGGGGCGAGGGGGAGTCGTCTAGTCCTTACGTCTGAACTTTGCTGTACAGAAGTCCCTAGAACTACAAGAGGCCGAGACAACTAGCCTCCTAAGGCAGGTGCATGTGAGTTGTACCCGTTAGTTTAGTTTTGCTTTAGCGTACATTATCCATAGTGATCTGACATAATCCCTTAGGCTCAGAAACTCAGTTCCTTATGGTTTAAGGCAGTTAAAGCTTAAATGCTAGACCTACATTATAGCTCATTTCTAGTCTTTTGAAGGCATTTACTACCATATTTCTAACATTTGTGAAAATTAGCAGCTAAATCAGGTTGAAGCAGTACCAGTTGTAACCATATCTGGTTAACTTTTCCCAAGGAACTTGGTTCAACTTTATTTTTTACTTCAGAGTGATTTTAAAATATAGTGGGCAGCATGGTATAGTGAAAAGAATGTTGGTTTAGGAATCTGAGGATTTGGGTTCAAATCCAGGGTCTGCTGCTTTTTACCTGGAAGGCCTTGGATCATTTAGACCTTTTGGGCCTCACTTTTCTCTAGTTGGACCAGGTAATCTCCAAGATTCCGTCCAGGTCTAAATCTAAGATCCAAAGATCCCTGTTAATTAGGGCACCTCAGGAGGAGATAGGTTGGAGATTGGGGGTAACTGTGGTGCTCAAAGAATGCTCCTAATAATGAATTTCATTTGTACTGGATATTCCAAAGTAACCTCGTAGAGGGTAGACAGAAAAAGGGGCGTATGTAAAGCACAGAAATAGAAGGCCGATAGAAGAAGAAAGGAATAAGTTGATATATCTATCATAGGTTAGAAAGCTGGGAAAAGGTTGTTTTTGTTTTTATATACTTCTTGGGGGTGGAATGGACCCCTAGAGACTGCCTATTCTTCTTAACTGATGCCAGAAAAAATGCCCTAGTGTGTATATCACAAAAATTACGTGTTTCTGTGTGCCTCAGTTTCAGGCCCTAGCCAGAAATAGTGGAACAGGCTAGTTTGTGATTGAGGTCCCGATCCTCAAGACAATAACATATCAACAGATTATTGGTAAGGGAGAGAGAAATGTTATTTGACATTTACATATTTTTTTTTTTTTATGGAGACTGGAGCAGAGCACTCTTGAAATATGAGCCTGAAACCCCAGCTGCTTTGTGTTATGATCTATGGCACTCCGGTATCCCAGTCCTGTTGTCCTGACCCCGAAGGGTATTAGGGAGTTGATGTTTCTGAGTTAAAGATTGCTTTCTGTGACCAGCCAATCTCAGATTCCTCTGCTTTTTGTTCCTTTCAAATGATAGCACCATCCCTATACTTTTTTAGGAACTGGTGGACCAGCTCTATTCGTTTCGGGACCACTACTTTGAGACACATCCAGTTGAGTATGCTGGTCAGAAACATCAGGATGTTCGAGAAGAAATGGAGAAGACCCTACACAAGATGGAGGAAGCAGTAGGTATGGCCCTTAGGATTCAAGATAGAACACCAGTGTTCCTTGCCTAGGAAATGAGATGGCCTCTTCCTCCCTTTGTATATTCTGTAAAGGGGCCACCACTAGTTGGTCAAGCAAAACAAGTCATTCTGATAGGTATAGACCATAGCTAATGCATGTAGTTGAAAAAGCCCCATACCAAATCTCCCAAACTCTCAGCTCCTTTCACCTTAGGGTCACACCACTGTGATGTGAAATGGCTCATTTCTTGGCTAGAGTGTTTCACTAAACTGTTTGCCTTCACCTTTCCAACCTGGACATAGCTGCCAGAATACTTTTCCTATAGCAACAGATTGTTCATGCTACTCTCTTACTTAGAAACTTTCAGTGGCTCCCTATGATCTTTAGAATAAAGTCTAAACTAGGCCTTTCATGACCCTTCAAAACTTTACTAATTCAGTAAATATTTAAGTGTCCTTTGTACCAGGCAGTCTGCTAGATTCTGGGAATATGAAGACAAAAATTAAATTGTTCCTTCTCTCAAAGACCCCACCATTTAATTGGGAGGAAACAGGATCTGCTTAGAAAATTAAGTACAAAGTATGTGCAAAGTAATTTACAAGAGGAGGATATTAATAAGTAGGAGGATCAGGATAGGCTTCTTGTAGGACGTTGCATGTAAATTGAGCTTGGAAGAATCTACAATCAGTATCTCCATTTCCTCTCCTCTCTCTCTCTTTTTTTTTTTTTTAGGCAGTTGGGGTTAAGTGACTTGCCCAGGGTCACACAGTTAGTAAGTGTTAAGTCCCTCTTCTCTCTTGACTCTACAGTCTGGCTTCTGACTTTAACATTCAGTCAAAACTGCTCTTTCCAAAGTGACCAGTGATCTCTTAATTGCCAAAGCTAATGACTTTTTCTCACTTAACCATCCTTCTTCACTTCTCTGTAGACTTTGATACTACCGATCACCCTTTTCTCCTTGATGGCACTTTCTTCTCTCTAGATTTTTGGGACATTAATTTCCCTTGGTTCTTTTCCTCCCCATCTAACAGACAGCTCTTTCTCAGTCTTTGCTGGAGCTTCAGCAAGACCATGCCAGCTAACCATGAGTGTCCACCAGGGCTTTGGCCTGCCTCCTCTTTTCTTCTGCCTCTACAGTGTTTCCCTTGTTGATCTCATTAGCTCACATAGATTCAGTTATCGTCTTTGTACTGATAATTCCCAGACATACCTTTTATCTAGCCCTAACCTTTCTCTAGACCTTTAGTCTCGCATCTCCAACTATCTATTAGACATTTCAAATTGGAAGAGGGGAAGAGGCCTCTCCTCTTCTAATGTCCCTGTTACTGTTGAAGGTCCTACTATGCTTTTGGTTACCCAGGCTCAAAACCTGAAACTCTTCACTCTCTTTCATCTTCCATATCCAATCAGTTGCCAAATCTTTAGTTTTATAATATTTTTCATACATGACACCTTCTCTCTTCTGACACTACCACCACCTTGGTCCATACCCTCATCACATCACCCTTGGCCTCTTGTGATAGTCTGTAGGCTGGTTTCCTTGCCTCAAGTTTCTCCCCACTTTAGTCCATCCTCCACTCAGCTGTCGCAGTGGTCTTCCTAAAGTTTTGTACTTCCTAAAGTGAAGAGCTGACTGTACCATCCTTCTACTCAGTAAACGCTAGTGGCTCCCTGTTCCTCCAGGGTCATATTAAAAAAAAAATCTCCTATTTGAGCTTCAAGAACCCTTCACAACCTGGCCCCCTCCTACTTTTCTAGTCTTCTTACACCTTAGTCTCCTCCCCTTACCCCCCCCATGTACTCTTCAATCCAGTGACACCAACTTCCTTGCTGTTCCTCAAACAAGACGTTCCATTTCTGGACTCTGGGAATTTTCAGTGGTTGTCCTCCATTTTGCAGTTCTGTCCCTTTTCATCTCCTGGCCTTCCTGCTTCCTTCAAGTTTCAGCTAAAATTCCACCTTCTACGAGAAGCCTTTCCCAATTCCCCTTAATGCTAGTGCTTTCCCTCTGTTGATTGTCTCCAGTTTATCCTGTTTGTATGTTGTTTGCTTCTTGTCTTCCCCCATTAGACCTATGTTCTTGAGAGCAGGTACTGTTTTTTATCTTTTTTTTATATATCCAGTGCTTAGCACAGTGCCTGGCATATAGTAGATACTTAATAAATGTTTATTGCCTGACTGGCTAAAGGAAGCTAAGTATTCTGTGAGGTAGAGATAAGGAGGGAGTAAATACATTCCAGACATTGTGGGCAGTCTTGGCAAAGGCATAGAGGAGGGATGATCTGTTATGGATAGGAAACAGCCATTTTAGCCAGAGTATAGAGTGTGAAAGTGAGTCAGGTGCAGTAATCCTGGAAAAGCCACATTTTGAGGGACTTTAAATGTTAAACAGAGGATATTAGATTAGAGATAAGAGGGAGCCAAAGAGCTTCTGGAGGGACATGATCAGACCTTTGTTTTAGGAATATCAATTTGTTGGCTGTGTGAAAGAGGAATCAGAGAGGGCATAGACTAGAAGCTAGAGAACCTTATCTCCTACTATTCCCCTCTGTTTCAGCAACTAGTCTACTTATTGTCTACCAGCTAGGCCATACAGAGTCCTGTTTCTTTGCTCTTGTTTGTACCATTTTCTTTGTCTAGGATACTCTTCTTTTCATTTTTTAGGTGTTATTCTTCCTATAAGAACTAACTTCTTCCTTGAAATCTTCCCTTTTTATTTTTAAAAAATTTATTTATATAAGCATTAGCTCTCCCTATCGTAGTATCCCCTCTTCTCTATTTGAACAATAATTTTAAAACAGAACAAGAAAAATAAACCCTCATAATAAATATACATAGTTCACCAAAACAAAGTCCCACATTGGTCACGTCCAAAAGTGTGTGTCTCATTTTACATTTTGATCCATCACCTTTTTGGCAAGAGATAGGTATTTCATCTTCAGACCTATGGACTCATGATTTATCGTTGTACTGATCAGACTTCTGAAGTCTTTCAAAGTTGTTTTTCTTTATAACACTATTGCCATCACGTATGTTGTCCTCTTTGTTTTGCTCACTTCACTTAGCATTAGTTCATAGAGAGTTCATAGAGATTTCTCTGTACTTTTTGTCATTTCTCATAGCACAATATCATTCTATTCCATCAATTTATTTACTCATTACCCTATAGGAGGGCATGCTCCTAGTTTCTAGATTTTTACTGTTATGAAAAGAGTTGCTATAAATATTTTAGGTCCTTTTCCACTTTCTTTGATCTCTTTGGGGTGTAGGGCTAATAGTGGTATAGCTGGGTCAATGGGTATACATAATTTAGTTATTTTTAGGTTGTGGTTCCATATTGCTTTCCAAAATGGTTAGATCAATTCACAGTTCCACCGACAGCATACCAGTGTGTCTGTTTTCCTGTAACCTTTCCCATATTTATTATTTTCTTCTTTGTCGTATTTGCTATTTTGATGGGTGCAAGGTAGAACTTCAGAGTTGCTTTAATTTTCATTTTTTTGAATGGTTAGTGATTTGGAATGTATTTTTCATATGGTTGTTGATAGCTTGGATTCTTTTTTTTTTTCTTAATTTTCAGTTTCAAGTTATTTCTCTCTCTCCACCCCCTCCCTCACCCATTGAGAAGGCAAGAAATTATGATACCCATTAATTGTATGAAATCAAGCAAAATATATTTCCATATTAGCTATGTTCCCCAACCTACCCCCCCAACCAAAAAAAAAAAAAAAGGACAAGGAAAATAAAGGAAATAAAAATATGTTTCAGTCTGCACTTTGAGTCCATCAGTTCTCTCTCTGGTGGTGGATAGCATTTCTCATCATTATTCTTTTGGAATTCTGGTAGAACATTGTATTGAACAGAATTACTAAATCTTTCAGTCTGTTGTACTAGTTCTGCTCACTTCACTTTACGTCGGTTCGTATGTCTTACCACATTCCTCTGAAATTATCCCCTTCGTCATTTTTTTCGGCACAGTAGGATCATAACTTGTTCAGTCATTCCCCAATTCATGAGCATCCCCTCAGTTTCCAATTTTTGCCACCCCAAAGAGGGCTATTATAAATATTTTTGTATATATGGGTACTTGATCTCCTTCTCATGTAGACCTGGTAACTGTATGACTAAGTCAAAGGGTATGCACAGTTTTGTTGCCCTTTGGGCATATTTCCAAATTATTTTCCAGAATGGTTAGACTAGTTCACAGCTCTAACCAACAATGATGGCTTGGATAACTGAAATTTTTCCTCAGCTTTCTGCCTCCGTCCAGCGAACTCCTGTAGCTCTTGGTTATTTGTATCATTCATTTGATATTTTGCACGTGATGCTTTATACTGATGTTTGTCTTTTTTATGTACATGAGCTATTTTTATGTGCACTTCCCAGGTAACCTATAAGTCTTTAGGACAAGGACCATGTCTTAACATGTAATGATTTATGACCCCAGCACTTTGTATAGTGTTTTACACTTAGTAGAAAATCAATACTTTTGTTGATGATAATTTTCTCCAAGTCTTCCCACTGGTGGAGCTATTCCCTGGGGGAAAGATCCATTTTTAATATTGTCTCAGATTTCAATTTCTTTTACCTTTTCCTCTTTCATAGGCTTTTCCCAAGAAAAGGCCTGGGTTCTTATGCTGACAGGGAAGGCTCTGAATGTGACTCCAGACTATAGTCCTCAGGCTGAGGAGCTTTTGTCGAAGGCTGTGAAGTTGGAGCCTGAGCTGGTGGAAGCCTGGAACCAGCTGGGTGAGGTGTACTGGAAGAAAGGGGATGTTGCAGCTGCACACACCTGCTTCTCTGGAGCCCTCTCCCATGTGAGCTTCCTGCTATATTTACAGGAATCACATATGGAAAGGATGAAATTCCTCTGTTGTCTGGGAATTCCCCCCAGTGCATGAAAGCCAGGTTGAAACTAAACCAGAATTAGAAGACTAGAAACAGGAATTGGGGAACAAACCTGGAAGAGGGAATGAGGGACAAAGGACTAAGAAAGGGAGAAGGTAATGGATTTGGGTGAGGGACAGCCAGGAATGAAAACGGTTAAATGTAAAACTGGTATAGGGGGATGGGAACAAGGAGTGATAAAAATGAGACTAAGATTAGAAATGAGAGTGATGAGAAGATGGGCTTAGGGAATGTGTTTTTTGAGAAGGAGATGGGGTCAGGAGAGTTCCAGGGAGTTGACTGTATCTCCTTTTTATTTGTAGTACAAGAACAAAGTCTCTCTGCAGAATTTGTCAATGGTGCTTCGTCAGCTGCGGGCTGAGACTGGTGAGGAACACTCCCGCCATGTCATGGACAGTGTCCGGCAGGCCAAATTAGCTGTGCAGATGGATGTTCATGATGGACGTTCGTGGTGTGAGTTCTTTCCTAGAGGATTCCGTGTCTTTTATTTTGGGATTGGTAGATTTTTCTTTCAATAAATCTGGGTGACCCCCCCATTGTATTTTTGTGAGAAGGGAACTATGCTATTTCAGTACACGTAACGGTTGAGTCAGAACTGTTCCCGCAGTCTTTTCCTCGGGTCTGGAGTTAAGCAAACTTTGTTTTATTAGCTTCTAGTCCAGGGCTTTCTAAACTTTTTTGAGTCATTGAACCTTTGGTTGTCTGGGGAAACCTGTGGACCTCTTCTCAGAACAATGTTTTTAAAAACAAATTACCTAGAATTGCAAAGGAAACCAATTGTATTGAAATACAGTTACCAAAATATTTTTAAAAACCAAGTTGATAGACCCTAGGATAAGAACTCCTGTTGTAAGGCTTTCTAAAATGAGACACAATCACCCTAGACATGGGACCTGTGGGATGAAATGGAAGGGTCTAGTGCTGATTATGGATAACGTGGGTTTGTGCTACTAATTTAACTGCTTTTGCGTTTCTTATTCAGATATCCTAGGGAATGCATACCTCTCCCTCTTCTTCAACGCAGGCCAGAACCCTAAGATTTCCCAACAAGCTCTTAGTGCTTATGCCCAAGCAGTGAGTATTAATGGTCACCTGGGACAGATGGGGATGGGATAGCAACAGATTCCTAATACAAATGATGGTGGCCTTTTAATAAATAACATGAGAGACATTTACCGTCACTTCACAGGTTTGGGTTTACAACGTTAGTCATTAAGAATTGTTTAATTTCTTTATATGCACGTGCCTGGGATACAGGGAACTATCATCAGCTGAATGGCATGAGACAATTGGCCAAACTTCCCATAGGCTTGTTAACTGAATCAAATAATGTAGCATATACTGACATCAGTTTCTGTTCTTTCTGTAGAAATTTAACTGTATTACCTTATAGTAATTGCTTACTTCTTAATAATCAGTTACTAACATTTCAATACACATTTTAAAATACTAAAAATAGCAGTGTATATGTGTCTGATTGAATTTAAGCTAATGATGTATGTGTTTGTAATTTAGTAATCTACTCCTGGAATTCTTCCAGGTTTAAGTGGAAAAACTTTAAATTCACCCTGAATCCTTTCTTTGTGTTGAATGCCTGGTAGGACATAGTTCCTAGTTTCAGAATCACTTTTCCCCTTAAAAAACTACTGCAAATAGATACCTTCCTTCCATCCTCTAACTACTTGCTCAGAACTTCTTAGAAAGCATTAATTTGCCGTTATTACTCCCTATTTAAGTCTCAGAGCCTCTTTGCTACTCTGCATCTTTTTCTTTGCACAGAGAGACTACTTTCAGCATCATATTTTTTGTATTACACAGCTTTGCTTCTGTTAGTGAAAGAAAATTATAGCTACCTTGTGCCCATTTGTTAGCTCTGCAATTATACTTTTCCAGTACCTTTGTCCTGATAAATACTTTACTGTTCAAAGAATAGATACCTTTATTGGGGTAATAGTAGGTTTCCAGCAGGTTTCATAATCTGCTGTGCCAGAGACTTGCTTCTAATTCATGAAAGATCATTTTTTCTTCTTCCCCTTTCAGAACCTAGATTTTAAAACATTTAAAAAACATTAACATATACACATGTAGGTTTATACACATACATGTATGCATATATGCATACGTGTATATATACATGCATCCATGTCCACATATGTGTTATGTATGTAAGATTTCCTTATTGTGTGCTTGGCCTGTGTGTTCTCCTGGGAGAATACATCCTTGTATTTCCATTTCATCTATTACAGCTAGTTTCAGGCATCAGGTTTGGAGATTGAGTATGATTTTTAATCTGACTTTTAATAAAGTTGGGAAAGAGAAACATCTTTCTGGATGTGTCCGTTGTTACTTCAGTTAGAGGAAATGAGTTAGGATGAGGTATATTTTTTCCATCTTAACCACAAATACTGTGAAATTCATTGGTTGTTAGTAAATTGTTGACGTTTCACTCTCTGTCATTGTTCCCTGTACTAGTACGATATGCAGCCTTGTTTATCCCTTTGCTCTCTATTGCATTTTGCTTTTAAAGTTAAAACTGAGTTGTATACTTTCTCCCTTTCTACCTTTTGCTTTGAGAACTATAATCAAATCGATACTACCCTTGTCCCTGGAAAGGGCATGTCACTGGACTGTTTTATTGTTCCACTTATCATCTGTGTGACTTCCTAGTCCCAAGCACCACTTCCTTTTACTCTCTTTGAGGGTAAGGACTGTCTCTGTTTGCATTTGTGTCCCCAGGGCTTAGTACAATGCATGTATAGCTTTAATAAATACTTTTTCTTTCATTCACTCAAAATGCTTTCATATTTATTAATTTTATTCTTATAGCATTCTATTGGTTAATTATAATAATATTTTGAAAACATAATGAAATAGTAACATAGATAAGTAAATCACAAGTTTTAATTGAATTTATCTGGTTCATTATGAGGCTTCAGTATCTGGGTATTCATCTGCTCGCTTTGGTAGAGCTGGTAGCCACTGTATCTATAGCAGAAACAGCCGCATAACAGAAGGTAGATAAGGGCACTCTTTGTCATGGAGGGAAATCTTGAAAGCTTCTGTGAGGCTCCAAGTCATGTTTAGAGTGACCATTCTCATATCTGAAACAGAACTCATTGATGAATGATGGCTTTTTTTTTTTTAATAATGTATCTCACTGTAGGAAAAAGTGGACAGGACTGCCTCCAGCAATCCAGATCTCCACCTGAACAGGGCCACGGTAGGACAATTTATAACTCATACAAGTGGTAATGTATTAAGCCTTAATTTGTGAATATAGCTGAGTAGGATTATAGCAAAGCTTGGCACATTCATCTAGAGGAAATGCAAAGTTTTTTTTTTGGGGGGGTGGGGGAGTGGGTCAGCCCTACTTCATATGATAACACATAGGCACACTAGAGGGAAAGAGGAGGGAATGAAGAAGTGGGAGGTACTGAGGGGAAATGATGCAGTTGGAAAAGGGAAGAAGTTTGGAAAGATTTGTGTTCATCTAGTTAATAGCATATAAATAAAATACCAAAATAAATGTATGTAAAGAATTTTTCAAACTTCAAAGTGCTATACAGAGGTTAGTTAATATTATTGTTTGGTGCAAATATCATGGGGAGAGAATCTTGATCAATTCTTTATATGCAGCTATATAAATATGAAGAAAATTATGAGGAGGCCCTGGAAGGCTTCTCTAGAGCTGCAGTGCTGGACCCGGCCTGGCCAGAGCCTCAGCAACGAGAGCAACAGCTCCTGGAATTCCTAGATAGATTGACCAGCCTCCTTGATAGCAAGGTATGGTAGCCTGGATGAACTGATTCTCGTCCTCTTTTTCATGGTAGGTTATTAGGATTGGGATTAGGCAGTGTGGATGGCAACCTAGGTAGAGGTGAGACTGAGGTGGGGACGGTGGAGCTTAGGGAGAGGGGCTGGACTTTTGACACCTGTTTTCTTTATCTTCATTATCTCTAGGGTAAGGTGAAGGCCAAGAAGTTGCAGAGCATGCTGGGAAGTCTTCGCCCAGCCCAGTTGGGCCCCTGTGGGGATGGGCGATATCAGGCAGCCTCTGGGCAGAAGATGGCACTGGAACTAAAGCCACTGAGTACATTGCAACCTGGCATAAACAGTGGTACTGTGGTGTTGGGCAAGGTTTTGTTCAGTCTTACCACAGAGGAGAAGGTACCCTTGTGAGTATCTTTACTAATCCGGTGTTCTGCTTGGATTTTCTCTGGCAACTGCGGTCTTACTTGATTACCCTCCCTAGTCTTAGTGGCTTTCCTTCGCTGACTGTCCCAAGAGTGGTCATTGCATGAAAAAACAAGTCTTTCCCTTGGCCTCAGAGGGGTGCCCTGTTAAATCTGTGATGATCTTCTTCCCTGAGCTTTTGCTTTGTCCTCTTTGGTAGGTAGGTCTTATTAACCTGGGTCTTAAGTAAGGGAAGGTATTGCAGGTAGCTTTAAGGTGAGGTTTAAATGAAGGGAGGAAAGTAGCTTGGTTGGGGAGGTTAAAAAGAGTTGGATTAAAAACATGTTGGATTAAAAAGAGAAGGAAAGCTGTAAAGAAAAGAGCCAATTAAATAAAATGGTAATTATGAGAAGTAAATGTGGGAGATGCTGTGGCATAGTAGTAGATAGAGAGCTAGCCTTACGGTTGGGAAGAATTAGATTGAAGTTGTGACATTTTAATTGTGTGACCTTGCAACTTTCTAAGACTACAGATTTCAGATGAGTTGCCTATCTGCATTGGTGAAGGGATTTTTTTCCGTTCTGGGAGTTTCTTACACTGTTGAAAACAGGTTATCCTTGCCTTCAACCTCTTATTCCTCCCCCCCCCAAAAGCACAGGGGATAAAGGAAGGCAGGCTAGTGGGGTGCTTTGTCAATTCAAATTTTATGTGGAGAGCTGCAGGGAGTTAGAAAGATTGAAGGAAGATGTAACCATAATTAAAATGACAAACAAGAAACTTGGTTTCAGCCACAACAATTTGGTTGATGTTTAATCATCATTAATATTTGTTGAGGGTCCCTTGGATACATGGGGTGGTCTAAAGTATTTTGGGAAAGATACATAATGGTAATTCATACCTCGTGGCCCTGCCTTCTTGGGGCTTATAATGAGAGAATAATAGACACATAGAACTGGTTTTAAAAGTTTATTTTTCTAGTTTTTCTTCTTAAACCCTTGCTTTTGGTTTTCTCTTTTGCCAACACTCTTCCATCTTTATTTCTTACGCTTGGCAGCACATTTGGCCTGGTGGATTCTGAGGGGCCCTGTTTTGCAGTGACAGTGTATAATATGGTACAGAGTTGGGGTGTGCTCATTGGTGACTCTGTGGCTATCCCTGAGCCCCATCTCCGGTGCCATCAAATCCAGCATAAAGGAAAGGTGGGTGATGGGTCCCAGATCCTCTCTTCTAACTTCTTTGTTTGAACCAAATCTGAAAACAGGGAGCCCAAACCTTATCAGGACCTCGGATGTCCTGTTCCAAACCTGCAGTGGGACAATGGCTCTTTGATAGAAATGCCTCAACTTGTTTAAAGCTAAGTGAATCTGTGGGTCAACTTTCAGTGAATCTGTGGGTGATTCTGAGGTACAGTGAGTTAATGTGCTTTATTATAATTAGAAAAATTACTATAAATTATTTTTTTCTACTATTCTTGATTTCCTTAAAAAAAAATCTTATCCTTTCAGTACTCATGGTGGTCATTTTCCTCCTATTCCAAACATTTCTCTTGTGTCTTGTTTGAGAGCATTGGGGAAATGCAGAATTCTCTCAGAATCCCTCTTGATTTTTTCATCAGTGTCCCAAACCCTTATTCTCTCTGGTAAGGCTAACAGTTATTCTCTATTTATGCTCAGTTCCCATTGTGGCCCTGCCTGGGATAATCTGAGATGGAGTAGAGGTGAATGAATATTGAGTGGGAGGAGGAGTAGGAGGGGAGGGTGGGATCCATTCTGGAATGTCTTTCCACCTAGGAGCCCCACTAATCTTTTCTGTCTCTTGTTTCTTCCAGAACTACTCCTTTTCCTGTATTCGTGTGGAGACACCCCTTTTGTTGGTGGTGAATGGGAAGCCACAAGGCTCCAGCAGCCAGGCTGCTTCCACTGTGGCATATCGACCACAGAGTGAATGACTCTCAGACTCACATCCTAAAGAAGTGGGAATGTGGAGAGATGTTCCAGGGAATGAAGAGGCTGGATTACTCTTACCCAGTGACTCAGAGGGGTGGGCATGTGTTTGGGTTGGATTTTTCCTTCTTTTGCCTTATTACATAACCTAGCTTCCCTTCCTCCAATCCTTCTGTTACCCTGTCTCAGCCCCTTTCAGTACCTGCCCCCTTGCCTGGGGTACCACCTGTTACTTTCACAGATCCCTATATTTTGGGCTGAGATCATTGGATAGGTATGAGTGCTGGGGCTGGGCTATGGGGGCTGGGTCCCCAAGGTTTCTATTCGTGAATCCTCCTGAGCCACATGTGTATGTATATTAGTTCAATATTTATTGCTAGGGGAAGGGATGAAAATTTTTTATAGTTTGTTTTTTGACAATGCTTTTTTTATTTTTTATTTTAAGTCAAGGCCTTGCCCTTTCTGTGAAGCTGGGGGCATCAATTAAATTCATTTGGAAAAACAAAACCAAACCCACCTGTAGTTTGTTTAGTTTTATTTTTCTCCTTTTTCCTGGTCCCACACTAGTTGACACAATGTCACTTTAGACTATGAGTAGGGGGACGAGTGGAGAGTATTAAGGCTTGCCTGGCTGCTTTTGTGGGTTCAGAATACCTCCAGGCCCCAATATTCCCAAACATACCTTCCTAAGTAACACAGGACTTCTCAGTTACCGTAACCACCTTTCAGTGTTATCTCCTGCTGCTTTTCAGGCCTCTAGTCTTTGGGAATCTTTGTGTTTCCCTGTCACCATCATATTCAGAATTCCCTTGTAGACACAGAATTAAATGTGGAACAAACATTTAACACGAAAGAGATACAAGAGAAACAAAAGAGCTTTTGATTTCTTTAGAGCCCATTGCCTAGTTTTCTTTAGGCTGTGTGTTGATTGGTAGGTTTGCTCTTGTCCCAGGAGGGAAAGTAGTCCTACTTAGTGTTCCCACACCTCTTCTATGTTTCCTTTTTCTTTGCTGATCTAGGGAGTTTTCCAGATTTGAAAATTCTACATAGGGAAGTAAGTGCATGAGGTCTTTGGGACCTCTTAATGGGGACAGAGGGAGGGTTAGGAGGAAGATGGGGAAGAGACTTTTGAATCCTGTGAAGAAATCAATAAATGATAGGTCCTCGCTATGTAACAGCCTACTGGTGTCTCCACTGACCCACCTTTGGTAGATTGTGGAAAATGCTGTGGGAGGAACTGACATTTTGATGTTCTTTAAGCTTACTGGAATCTTCTGGTTCTAAATATGTTGATTCTGTCTTGCTTTTTTCAACTAATATTCTCAACTCTAGATATGTCGTGTCCCTTCTTATTCTGAGAAATATCCAGGAAAGGCAATGTTATATCTTTTTTAAGTCACCTGTAAAGTGTCCTACCTTTTAGAAAGTTCTAGTTCTCTAATCTAAATCCTGTCTGTTGCACTTTGTCTATTTCCACACATTCATATGGAAGCAGCAAGGTGTAAAATATGTTTATACATGAAGGGACCTAGCTACTTTGTAGGGCAAAATTATTTTATAAAATTTTCAATTTACATACAAAGTCTTTAGGTGAAGAGGATTGATAATCGAGGGTTTTTTTTTTTTTGGTTTTTTTTTTTTTTAAAACAAGGGTTAGATTTCTAGGTAGGATGGCACAAGTTGATTGGTGGTACTATAGAAACAAAGCAGCTTCAGAACCCATTTCCAGGTTACTATCTTCACAATTAAGTGGGATGGGAGGTGAGTAGTTGCCACTCTGGCATCTGGATTAGGCTTGTGGAGCAATTGCAGCCTCTAGACTGTCCAGAGAGATGTTATAGGGTCCCAGGTGATAGCTATACCTCTATGAGATAATCAACAATATTTATTAAGCACTTACTGTGTGCCAGTATACTTGGTGCTGGGTATACAAAGACAGAAATGAGATGGCTCATGCCCTCAAAAAGCCTACATTACAATGGAGGAGAACAACATGTTGAGATATATATATAATATATATATATTATATATATATATATGTATACACACATACACATACACATACACATACATATACAAAATAAATACAAGGTAAGTTTGTGTAAGTGAGGGCACTTGCTCCCAGCTGGAGGATCAGGGAGATAGTGGTGCTTGAGCTGAATCTTGAAGGAAAGTGGAAATTCTGAGAGGTTGAAGAGAAGAGGGAGTGCATCCTAGGTGAGGGGGACAGCCAGTACAAAAGCACAGACATGCTATGGAGTGTTGTTTATGAGGACCAGCAAGAAGGCCAGTTTTGGGGGACTCCAGAATTTGGGAAAGGGAGTCATATCATAACATTGGAAATGGGGTTGGGGCCAGGTTGGGGGAGACTTTAAAAGTCCACCAGAGGAGCCTACATTTGATTGTAAAGGCCATAGTGAACCATTGCAGTTTGTTGATTAGTCAAGTCATACAGTCAGTCCCTTTCCTGTCTATCACTGATTGTGCCTTACTGAGTCTCAGACTTGGATAAGTCATCATTCACTGCTTTCCCTCCTCCATGCTTGCTGCTGAGGGAAGGTGGAGAAAATCACACAACTCTACTGACTGGGTCCACTACAAATTTATGTAGGCCTTCACTTCCATTCCCTTCCACTCATCACGGTGGCTCTTGGAAACCTTTTCATCCTTCCTCAAACCTCCAATGGCTGTTTCTCTCCTCTTCTGCCCCCCAGCTGGGAACCTTGTCTCATATTTTACTGAAGAAATTGAGGCTGTTCCTCAGTGTCCCTCTACTCATTACCCAGATGCCTTCTGCCACTATATCCTTCACCCCTATCTCACATGAAGAGGTGGCTTTTCTTGTCAAGGCCAACCCCTTTTCTTACACAAATAATCCTATTCTATCCCACCTTGTCCAGCAAAAAAACCCGCCCAAACCCAAAAAGCTATTATCCCCATTGTCTCTTACCAGCAATCTTTCACTGACCACAGGCTGTTTCTATTTTGTCCACAAACATGTCCACGTCTCCCCTATCCTCAAAAAAATTTGATCCAACTATCTGTTCCATATCTCCTGCCCTTTTTGACTAAACTTGAGAAGGTCATTTATAGTAGGTATTTCTACTTCTCTCGCTCTGCTTATCTGGCTTCTGACCTCATCTTTCAACTGAAAATACTCTCTCCAAAGTTACCAATGATCTTATCTTTATCCTTCTTGACCTCTCTGCAGCATTTGGCACTGCTGATCACCCTTTTCTCCTTGATACTCTCTTTTCTCTAGGTTTTCAAGATACTATTCAATCCTGGTTCTCTTTCCTATCTGATAGCTCCTCAGTTTTCTTTTCTGGATCTTTATTGAGGTCATGACCATTAATGCATGTCGCACAAGGTTCTGTCCTGGACCTTTGTCTCTGTATATACTATTTAATTTGTTGAGTCCCTGTGGGTTCAATTAGCATCTCTATGCTGATGATTCTTTTTTTTAAAAAATATTTTATTAATTTATTTTTAGTTTTCAACAATCACTTTCATATGCTTTTGAGTTTTAAATTTTCCTCCCTTTCTCTCCCCCCTTCCCTCCCCAAGACGGTGTGCAAACTGATACAAGCTCTACATATACATTCCTATTAAACGTTTTCACATTAGTCATGTTGTAAGGAAGAATTAGAACCAATAGGAGGAACCACGAGAAAGAGGAAACAAAACAAAACAGAAGAAAAAAGAAGAGCAAATAGTATGCTTCAGTCTGCATTTAAACTCCCTAGTTCTTTCTCTGGATGTGGATAGCATGTTCCATCATGAGACTTTTGGAGATCTTAGGTCCTTGCATTGCTGAGAAGGGCTAAGTCTATCGAAGTTAGTCATCACACAGCGTGGCTGTTACTGTATATAACGTTTTCCTGGTTCTGCTCTCTTCACTTAGCATCAGTCCATACAAGTCTTTCCGGTTTTTCTGAAGTCTGCCTGTTCATCATTTCTTATATATACTGATGATTCTTAAATCTACTTATCCAGCCTTAACTTCTCTGCTGACCAGAAATCTTGCGTCTTCAACTGCCTATTAGACATCTCAAACTGGATGTCCCGTAGACATATTAAACTCAAGATTTCTTAAACAACTCATCTTTACTCCTAAACCCTCCCTGCTTCCAAACTTCCCTATTACTATTAAGGGCACCACCATTCTAGTTTTTCAGGCTTGCAACCTAGGTGTTGTCCTCAACTCTGCTCTACCACCTTTATATCCAGTCTGTTGCCAAGAGCTGTTCATTTCAGCTTTACAACATCTCATATATGCCTCTTTCTCTCCTCTGTTACTGCCACCACCCTGATGCAGGTTGCATCATGTTGGCCTAGTTTCATAGTCTCATGGTTGGTCTACCTGCCACAAATCTCTTCCTTCTCCATTCTCAGCTGCCAAAGTGATTTTTCTAAAGTGCAGGTCCTGTTACGTTATTGTCCTACTTAATAATTTCTAGTGGCTCCCTATCATCTCCAGGATCAAATATAAAATCCTCTGGTGTTCAAAGCCCTTCCCAACCTAGTTCCCTTCCCCTTTCTCTGACCTTTCCAGTCTTTTTTTTTTTTTTTTGTGAGGCAATTGGGGTTAAGTGACTTGGCCAGGGTCACACAGCTAGTGTCAAGTGTCTGGTTTGAGGCCGAATTTGAAGTCCTCATGACTTTCCAGTCTTTATACCTTACAACGCTCATCAGTCTGGTCCAGTGGCACTGGCCTCCTTGTGCTGTTCCTTGAACAAGACACACAGTCCCTCAGCTGCAGTCATTTTCACTGGCTGTCCCTTATTCATGGAATGTTCTTCGTCTTTACTCTTTGGCCTCCTTTAAGTCCTAGCTAAAATTCCACCTTCTAGAGGAAGCTTTTCCTAGTCCCTCTTAATTCTAGTGTTGGTTATTATTCGTCCTCTATATAGCTTGTTTATATATATTTGTTTGCATGTTTTCTCCCTATTAAACTGTGTGCCCCTTGAGGACAGGGACTCTTTTTTGCCTCTTTTTATGTCCTCAGCCCTTAGCACAGTGCCTGACATATAGTAGGGGCTTAATAAATGGTTATTGACTGCTTTAGAAAAATCATTTTGCAGCTATATATGGAATAGATTAGAGAAGGAAGTGATGAAGTAGGGAGATGGATTAATGGCTTCCACCATAGCCCAGGCTAGAAAGGACAAGTTAGGGCTTGAACTAGGGTGATGTCTGTTTGACTGGAGAGAAGGGGACAAATTTGAGAGATGTGTTGGTATTCAGAAAGTGGATACATGATTGAGAGAGAATGAGGTTGACTTTGCTCTCGACAGAAATGGGGATGTTTGGAAGTTTTTACAGGCTGAAAGATGTGGCCTAGGAAGGAAGAATTCAGGAGGGACATTTGCTGGGATCAGGGACAAGAGACAGCAGGAACCTTGTCTAAGAGCCAGGAGGAGGAACTCAATAGTTTATTGAGTCTATGTTGTGCAAGGCACCAGGTCAGATTCTCTTTTGAAAGGAGTGAAACCCTAGCTTGAGATCTGAAATTCGGTAAATGAGGGCAGAGAGCATGGGAAGATAAGGGAGATGCCCAAGAACTGTTGTGTTGGAATTGTAGGTTTGGGGGACTTTGACAGCTAAGCCAAGGTCCCACCTCCTTTCTTAGAAGTGCTTTCTAGGGTGTCTGGAAGAATGAATGATGTCTTTCAACCTTTGGCCAGCTGCTGCCCTCTGAAGCTCAGGATTATTTTAGCTAGTTTCCTTTGCATAACTTTGTATAACTGACCTCTTCATGATGCCTTTTTTTTTTTTTAACTAGATATATCTAAATGTATTTACCAAGAGTCTGCTTGTCTTTCCTCCTGCCTCTGGACAGGACTACATATCTCTTAGGATAATCTCTTTTTTAAAGAACTTCAGGTAAGAAGTTACCATCACATCAGTCACCAGTCTTCTAAGTGTTTTTGAGGGACTGCTCTGTGCCCAGCTCTGTGCTAGTCAATCTACTTTGCTCTCTCCTATCTCACACCCAATTCTTTCTGCCGTACAATCTTTATCCTTCATATTGCACTTGCTACCTAGTTTTGTGTTGTACCATCACCTTCAGATAT